GGAGTTCGAGACCAGCCCCTGAACGCCAGGAAGTGAGCCGGGCGTGGTAGCGCGCGCCTGTAGTTCGGCTCCCGGGAGGATCGCCGGAGCCCAGCCGGGCGAGGCTGCGGTGGCCGGGAGCCTGCCGCTGCCCTCCAGCCTGGGAGACAGCGTGCGACCCCGACTCAAAAAAGAAGAAAAAAGTCAGCGCACGTAAATTCAGCCTATCGGATCTCGGATTAGAATAAAGTCATGATTCTAGATACACATGCCCCTAGCCACAAAAAAAGCCATAAAATAGCACGGATGAAAGCAACACCGTCCATCCGCAGCAAAGCAAAACCGAAAGTGAGGGGCCAAACCCAAATCTCTTCCGTCCACCATATTGCCTGGGGCTCGTTACTTTTTCTTTGCTCAGGTGATCCTTCGGCCCCAGCCTTCCAAGTAGCTGGAACGACAGGCACTCGCCACTATGTCCAGCTAATTTTTTCATTTTTTAAGGGACGAGGTCTCACTATGCTGCTGGTCTCAAATCCTGACCTCAAGCAGTCCTCCCACCTTGGCCTCATGCCACCAGGGTTGATTTTTTTTTCTTTTTAATTGTAGAGACGAGGTCTCGCCAAGTTGCCCAAGCTGGTCTCCAACCCATGGGCTCAGGCAGTCCTCTCGCCTCTGCCTTCCAAAGTGTGGGGACGACAGGCGTGAGCCGCCGCACCCAGTTTTTTCTTTGGGAGTGTGAGGTGGGGCCTAGATGCTGGTCACCATTTTGAGACAGCCCTGAGCTCCAGCCTTAGGACAAACAGCCCGCAACACGCTCAGAGCCCACACCCCCAGCCTCCCCCCACCAAGGCACTCACTCGTCATATTTCACGTGGTAGATGACGTCTTCTTCCAGAGTCGGGCTGGAGGTAGAGCTGCAGGGCTCGTCCCGGGAAGGGCCCTTCCGTGTCACCCGGACCACCTGGGCCTCGAACCACGCCCCCATGTTCGTGTCTCGGGCATCGACGTACTCATTCACCTGCACGAAGCAAGGAAACCGGCACCCGGGCCTGCATGAGGGAACCTGGTGGCCCGTCGGAATCCTGAGAACGCCGGGATGCTTGGGACTGGGACCAAACATCCAGAAGAGGGCTTCTCTGCTGTCACACTAGTGACACTCGGAGTCAGATCACCCCGGGCGCTGCAGGGTGCTGGGCAGCATCCCTGGCCCCCACCCACCCATGCCAGAAGCAGCCCTAGTTGTGACAACCACGGATGACCCCTGGGAGGGGGTGGAGTTAAGAACCACTGCCAGCTGGGCACAGTGGCTCACACCCAGAATTTCAGCAATTTGGGAGGCGAAGGCAAGAGGATTATCTGAGTCTAGGGGTTCGAGACCAGCCTGAGCAACATGGTAAGACCTCATCTCTACAATAAATAAAAATAGATCAGCTGGGCGTGGTGGCACATGCCTGTGGTTCCAGCTACTTAGAAGGCTGAGGCGAAAGGATCACCTGAGCCCAGCAGGTTGAGGCTGTGATAGCTGTGAGCATGCCATTGTACTCTAGCCTAGGTGACAGTAAGACCTGCAACTCAAAAATAAAATAAAAGAACCACTGCCTATGAGAAACTGTAAGGCCAGGTGGAGGGGCTGACCCTTGTCATTCCAGCACTTTAGGAGGCCAAGGTAGGAGGATCGCCTGAGCCCAGGAATTTGAGACCAGCTTGGGTAACATGGAGACCCCATCTCTACAAAAATCAAAAAAACTAGCCAGGCATGGTGGCACATGCCTGTAGCCCCAGCTACTCAGGAGGCTGAGGTGGGAGCATCGCCTGACCCCAAGAGGTCAAGGCTGTGGTGAGCCGTGAACAGACCACTGCACTCCAACCTGGGCGACAGAGTGAGACCCTGACTCAAAAAAAAGAACAAGAACCAGGACAGTAAAAACCCTTCTTCTGGGAGGACCACAGCAGGCCTGGCAAGGAATGTAGGCCACGGGGTATCCGAGAGCTCCTGCCATGGCTGCCAAGCGGCCCCGAGCCCAGAACTGCCCCATTGAGGCTGGAGCCCAGACCTCCTGAGAAGCTTCTGACCCGATGGTGGCAGCGATTTCCAAAGCTCCATAGCCGCCACAAGTCACAGGAGGACACCTGCATGACTGGGGACCATGATGGAGGACTGGGGGAAGCCGCCTAGCCCAAGTGGGACAGGGGCTGGCCATCTTCGGCGGGTTCCCCGCCTATCCTCGACGAGGTCCATACCCGGGCCTCGGGTGCATGTGCTTGAGTAAGGCGTCCCAACCTGGCGGGGCCTCACCTTGTAGAGTCCTAGCTCCGTCTCGTCCCACGTGTCCGTGTCCGCAAGGTTGGTCTTGCCATCTGCCTCGGGGGCCGCCTCACCGTGGGTGGAGGACTTGTCGGACTCACTCTGGCCCAGGCAGCAGCCCGAGTCGGTGTCTGAGAGCTCGGAGTCGCGCTCCTTGAGACTGGGCGGCAGCACGAGGCTCTGGCGCACCAGGAGCTGGATGGTGTCATTCAAGCGCACGTTGTAGTCAAAGAGTGTGTGGCCGTCTTCCATCTGCAGAGACAGACAGGCCACTCGTCTCAAGCCCAGCCAGCCTCGCCCTGACGCGGGTGGTGGGACAACCTGGAATGGTCTGGTCAGATGAGAGGGACCCAGCCCTCCTGGGTCCAGTGCACCCGAGCGCCACACCCTTCCCTAGAGGTCTCGGGCCCCTGACATGGAGGCTGGCCTCACCCTGCGTGCCCTGGGAACACATGGGCGCCGAGGAGTCTTTCTAGCACTTCATGGCAGAGCGGCTTCTGATAGTAAATACATGTGTCCTCTGCCACTGGCTCCCACCAAGGGTGACCCTGCCCCCAGGGACGTGGGCCGTGTCTGGGGACGTGTGTAGCTCTCACGACTGGGGTGCTCCTGGCATGGGTGAGCGGGCCAGAGACCCGCTCACACCTTGCAGTGCCGGGACGGACCCCAAAAACAACCCGCAGCGATATCCACAGAGGACCTGGCAGGAGGCACCGCCCAGTCTCAGCCCAGTCTCAGCAGGGCAGCTTCTATGACCTGAGCTCCCTTTCCCCTCCCCCTCTGTGGCTTCCTGTGAGTTGTTCCCCCCCCTCCAGTCCTAACTTCCCTCCAGGCTCATGTGTCCCTAACAGGTCTGTCCCTAACAGGGCCCGTCTGCCCCCAGGCTGCCTGACATCAGGTAAGCGGCACCTGAGCTGATCCTGATGGCCTGGTGGTACAAGAGGCTGAGGGCTTTCTTTTGTCAGAAGCCATCTCAGGGCTCTCCCACAGCCCCCACCAGGACCCATTCCTGTGGGCACCGTGGACGTGGGGCGGTCGGATCCTTCTCTGGGGGGGGGCGTCCCGGGCACTGCAGGTGCTGGGCAGGTCCCTGGCCTCCACCGCCTCCCCACCAGGAGCGCCCCAAGTCGTGATACCCACAGATGTTCCCAGGTGTCCCCAGTGCCTCCTGGGGGCAGGAGCACCCTGGTGCAGACCCGGTGCCCCAGGAAAAGGGAGAGGAGATGGAAACAGATACACAAAGACTGGCTCTCTCCTGCCCTCCCCGCTACCAAGTGTGGCCGCTCATGTTTAAACAGTACACCTGGGTGGTGAGGCCCAGCGTCCAAGGGCTTTTACTCTCAGACCCAAGCCTGATGACGGATGACTCCTTTCCCAGAAAAAAGGCTTTTTATTTTTTTGAGTTGGAGTCTCACTGTCACCCAGGCTGGCACCCAGGTGGCACGCTCACAGCCACCCCAGCCTCGACCAGCTGGACTCCAGTCATCCTTCTGTCTCAGTCCTCCAAGTAGCCGAAACTATAAGCGCGTGCTACCATACCTGGCTAATTTTCGAGGTCTCGCTAAGTTGCCTGGGCTGGTCTCAAACCCACGGACTCAGGCAATCTACTGGCCTCAGTCTTCCAAAGTGCTATAAAATGCACTTGGCTGAGCCACCGAGCCCGGCCAGCTTTTTTTTTTTTTTTTTTAAGAGACAGGGTCTCCGGGCACGGGTTCACACCTATAATACCAGCAATTTGGGAGGCTGAGGTGAGAGGATTGCCTCAGACCGTGGGTTCAGGACCAGCCCAGGCAACTTGGCAGCACCGCGTCTCTACAATAAATCAAAAAATTAGGCCGGGCTCGATGCCTCACCCTGTAATCCCAGCATTTTGGGAGGCCGAGGCGGGTGGATTGCCTGAGCCTGCGGGTTCGAGACCCACCTGGGCAACTTGGCCAGACCTCATTTCCTCAATAAATAAAAAACTAGCCAGGCATGGTAGCGCGCGGCTGTAGTTCTGGCTCCTTGGAAGACTAAGGCGGAAGGATCGCCGGAGCCCAGCAGGTCAAGGCTGTGGTGGCCGGGAACGTGCCACTGTACTCCAGTCTGGGCCACAGAGTAAGACTCCAACTCAAAAAAAAAGTTAGCCAGGCATGGTGCTGCACGCCTGTGGTTCCAGCTACTTGGAAGGCTGAGGCAGAAGGATCGCCTGAGCCCGGCAGGTTGAGGCTGCGGTGACCACGAACATACTGCTGCACTCCAGGACTGGGGTGGCAGAGTGAGACTCCAGCTCAAAAAAACAAAAGAAAAAGAGCCGGGGGGCTCGGTGGCTCAGCCTGTAATCCTGCGCCTTTGGGAGGCTGAGGTGAGTGGATTGCCTGAGCCCGCGGGGTCAAGACCCGCCTGGGCAGTGAGACCTCATGTCTACAATAAATCAAAAAATCAGCCGGGCGTGGTAGTGCATGCCTGTAATTCCGGCTACTCGGAAGGCTGAGGCGGAAGGATCGCCGGAGCCCAGCAGGTCGAGGCTGCGGTGGCCGGGAGCGGCCACTGCACTCCAGTCTGGGCGACGGAGTGAGACTCAACTCAAAAAAAAAAAAAGAAAAAGAAAAAAGAGACAGGGTCTGGCTCTGTCACCCAGGCTGGAGTGCAGTGACACGTTCACTGCAGCCTCCAACTCCTGCCTCAGGTGATCCTCCCACTTCAGCCTCCAGAGAACCTGGACTACAGACGCCACCACGACACCCGTGTAGTTTTTATAGTTTTTGTAGAGATGGAGTCTCATCATGTGGCCCAGGCTGGTCTCAGACTCGTGGACTCAAGTGATCATCCCGCCTTGGAACAAAACGCATTTGAACACATCCACACCTACCTACAGCTGCAGGGTCTCCAGACACCCACCACAGCCGCTCTACCCCACCTGTTCACCCAGCACGCAGGGACATGCCCAGCACGGCCCACCCGGGTGCCGGCCCTCCAACATGGGGACTGCTGAGCTCAGAGAGGACCGACAGGGACAGGAGGGTGAGGCCGATCAGCCTGTCCACACGTCATTCGCAGCCGGAGGGCAGAGACAGCTCGAGGTCCGCCCTCCACCCACAGAGAGTGGATTCAACAGCGTGGCCCATCCACACGTAGACGAACATAGCTTGGCTGTGAACAGGAAGGAAGCTCTGACACAGGCCACACGTGGAGGGACCTTGAAGACGCCACACTCCATGAGACCCAGACCCAGACACACCGTGTGTGACTCCACTTACGCAAAACATCCAGAACAGGCAGGAAGTGGATTCATGGGTGCGGGGCTGGGAGGCATGGGGAACAAAGGAGAGCAGCTGGGGGTGCAGTTTCCTTTAGAGGGGGTAACTACTCTGAAATCAACCATGGTGATGGTCACACAACTCCGCACCTGAAACCACTGAAATGGATGCTTCAAGTGGGTGAAATGAATGGTATAGAGGCTATATCTCAATAAAGCTGTTATTTAAAAAAAAAAGCCAGGCTCGGTGGCTCAGCCTGTAATCCCGAGCCTTTGGGAGGCTGAGGTGAGTGGATTGCCTGAGCCCGCGGGTTCGAGACCCGCCTGGGCAGCGAGACCTCATCTCTACAATCAATCAAAAAATCAGCCGGGTGTGGTAGCGTGCGCCTGTAATTCTGGCTACTCAGAAGGCTGAGGCAGAAGGATCGCTGGAGCCAGCAAGCGAGGCTGCGGTGGCTGGGAGCGGCCACTGCACTCCAGTCTGAGCGACCGAGTGAGACTCCAACTCAAAAAAAAAAAGGCTGGACGCAGTGGTTCAGCCTGTAATCCTAGCACTCTGAGAGGCCAAGGCAGGAGGATTGCTTGAGCCCAGGTCAAGGCTTCAGGGAGCCGTGGTGGTGCCACTGCCCTCCAGCCTGGGTGACATTGAGACCACGACTCAAAAAAAAACCCCTCCAAAAAGGCCACATACTGTGTGACTCCAACTGGATGACGTCCTGGAAAAGGCAGAGCTGGAGAAGTGGAAAGGCTAGATTGCTGGGGTGGCAGGGAGGGACAGGAGAGCACAGGGTTTTCAGGACATGACATCCACGTGGCACTGTTGTGGGGGACACAGTATGCATCTGTCCAAACTCTAGGACGTGCAGCCCAAGAGAGACCCCATGTGGACTGGGGACTCCGGGTGATGACCACGTGTTCAGGGAGGCTCAGTGGTATCGGCAACGCGCCCGCATGGGAGGCCAGGAGTCAGGAGATGGAAGCTCAGTGGGTGTACAAAACGTGCCCCATGGGAGGCCGGGAGTCAAGGAGGCCATGCGTGGCAACGGGGTGTGGGAACTCTCCACCACTCCCACTCAGCTTTGCAGGGACCCTGAAACTGCTCCGTAGGAGAAAGCGTATTCGTTTTTCTAAGAGGAAGACAGTCGAGTGTCCCCAGTGTCCCTGGGACAGGGAAGCCAGCAGGGCTAGGCTGATGGCACCGAGGAGGGACCAACAGGTGGGACCCCGGAACCCTGGCCCAGTGCCTTTGCCCCTGCTGATGTCGGGTCAGGTTTCTCTCTGTGGGGGGGGGGCAGGGCGCCATGGCCACTGCAGGAGCTGAGAGGCATCCCTGGCCTCCAGCCCCTCCATGCCAGAAGCCCACAGTCGGGACACCACACATATTCCCAGACTTCACCCAATGCTCCCAGGGGGCGGGATCACCCCCGTGAGCACCCTGAACTAGAGAGGCCCCATCCGCGTCTGAGGGTCACCTGCAGAGTCCCAAGTTCACGAGGCGTTATTCACCAGCAAAACACTGGACTATCTGAGCACTGGCTGGTGTTGGATGCATACTCAAGCCACAGCCTGGTCATCACCCGCCCGCACCCCAACGGCTCAGCGCAGCCACAGAGGGTCCAGCACACCACCCAGGAAACAATGCAGCTTCAGAGCAGGGCGTTCGAGTCCCAGCGCCACCAGACAGAGCACAGGGAGGGGAGGGGACAGCCCCGGGCAGACTCTGCCTGGAGAACACCAGCCAGAGGGGTTGGAACGCACCCCCAACCCAGCCATGGGGACGGCGGGAGGTGGAAGAGACCAAGCGAAGGCAGGGGGACCGCCTGGTCAGCTTCATCCGACCCGACCCAGGCACAGGCCACGTCGAAGGACGGATGGGGGAAGGCCTGGCGGCAGAGCTGGGGGGAGGCAGAGCCAGGCGGGGCCGAGGGCGAAGGGGTGTCCTGGGTGGCGGGGTTCCCACGGGGGACTCTGGCCGGACCTGCAGGAGCACCGGGGGAAAGGCCTGACACTAGGC